TTTAAAACACCCACCAACACATACAGTCCTGCCTTTCCCCTCTTTGCCAAGTCAGGCGAGTCAAAGGTACCGTCCTTCAGAAGAAAAAGAACAGATGTCCAGGGCTTGGCAAGGCAGGCCCCTTGCAGTTCCCAGCACCATCCGCTGTGTTGCCCTGATCTCCAGTTCTTAGTCCAAAACCACGAAGCACCTTCTCATGATCCACCAGAAAGGGGAGTCCTTTCTCCCCTTCCCTTCTTGCATGGTCTTCACATTGCTCCCCAGAGTCTGTGTCTCGTTCTCTCTGGCAGGTCCTGTCTCCCCTTCCCAGTTACATCCTGCTTCCTAAGCGATGTGCAGGCCTTACTACCCCTAAGTACAATTTAACTACCCCTGAGTTGTGTAGATAGGGGCCAAGGAATTATGTTTAAATAAAACCACAATCAAAACTGCCTTATCACTTCAGTGACTTCAAATGACTAAAAAGGTGATTGAAATGGGTCAAATATATCACTGCTTAAACTTTTTCCGCATAGGGGCAAAATCAATGCCTTCGCTTTTGGAATAGTGTTTTGAAACCATCCAGGCCAAAGTATCCACTTTGAGACTGTTTTTCATTTTTTGTACCTTGGTTGCCTATACTGCAATTGTGTACACGTTCTAATAAGTTGATTCAAAGCCTTTGGACCCTGGGTGCTACAAATGACTCAGTCTAGCAAGAGATGTAGAGAACAGTACAAATAGGTGCTCCTTGGCTGATTTATCTGGAACAAGCCCTTTGTGATGCCATGGGCTTAAGGGCCTTTTCATTCAGAGGAGAGTTGAGACAGCCCAGTTGGCTCTAACAGAGCCCTTCTAGTCATGGGCATGAATTTCAGGGCCAGGAAGGAACCAGAGCAGGTCATCCCTGTCTGTCCACCTCAGGTGTGAGAGCCTATTTGCTGGAGCTGGGAAGTCATCACCTGCACTGATCACTTGCTCTTGCTTTGAGACATAGGATATCCCTGTCAGTAACCCAAGTCATCCCTCCTCCACCGATGATCACAGCAAGTACAATGTACACCTGACAGGAGGTCCCTGCCTTCCACCCGACCCCTCCTACAAGTGTTGTCATATGGACAAGGAACAGCCTCTACATGCAGCTCCTGTGTTTGGGATCCACGCACTGTGAGTTCAGGCTTATGTGAAATCTGACAATAAAAATATAACCATACCATGCTCCGGCGCGGGGAGGGGCCCAGTTACTTTTTTCACCAACAAAGTTGGGATAATGGCTCTGTCCAGTAGTTCGTGCATCTTTCAGAAAAACAACTTCAGAGATTTCTCTCAATGACACGACAGAATCTTGAAGATAGGAAAAGGGTGGGAGGAGGAACATTGATTTAGTAAATCCTCTGTTGTAGGGATTTGGACAGGTATTCGAAGGCCAAGATACCTTTTTTTCCATAGTTAACAGAAGGGCACTCTTAGTAAGTACTGCAAGAAAGTATACATGCTAAGTAAGTGCAATAAGGAAGGTACTTCCTCAGTAAATGTTGCAGGGAAGGCACTTTATCAGTAAGTGTGGTAGGGAAAAGTACTCCTGGCAAAGCCTTCACAACCCTGGCCAGCGCAGGTGCTGGCAGCAGGTCTTTTCATTTTGGATTCTGTGAGGGGTCACAGTGGGATGTGGCTGACTGGTCTTCCAGGTACAGAGTCAGAGGCATCAGGGGATGGCAAAAAGCAGAGGAAAAGAAAAAGGCTGTCGCAGAACCTGTAGTAACAGGCTTGTCACCTTATAGGTGTGTCACGGCCAGCACTTTCCTTCCTCTTGCTTCTGATGGTGCAAATTTAGAAGTCAGGAACATTCCAGGGGTGGGGGCAGGAGGTTATGAACCCTACAGCCCACAGAGAGAACAGGAAGGCAGCTTCCAGGTCATTTATAGTACTTCCTTGACGTTGAGGAAATGGAGGGAGGGAATTTAGACTAATACCCTGAGCTAAAAACGGGGAAATTTAAAAAAGGACCATAGAGGTTAAGTTCTTTCTTTCCTTCCCTGTTTTTCACATGAGTAGCCACTGAGAACACAATTGGCTTTCAGGCTCCTCTGTAACTGGGGCAGGGCTGCAATGAGTAAATAAGCCTCACAGATAATCCCCACAGATCATTCTCATCCATTAGCTTCAACGTCTTCCCTTCACAAATCTTCCATCCCAGTTGCAGATGAGGAGAAAAATGAGCTGACAGAAGCATACACAACCTTGCAGGCCAGGCGCGTCCTCTGATGGTGGCATGAAGGCAGGAAGGGGGCCAAGGTTCGGAGGGACACGCAAGAGTGGGAGAGTCTCCTAGAAGGGCAGAGCTGGACAGGATAGTCCAGTCCCGTCAGGTTCCTTTAAAGCAGGGGATGCCAAAGCTCTGAGAGGTTAGGGCCATTGTAGGGGAGGTACACCCTCTCCCCTCTTATGGTCTTTGGCTGACCTTAAAATTAAGTTGACCTAAGACATTAATGGGAGAGAAGCATACATATTTTATTATTACACATACATGGAGCCTTTACAGAAAAAATGAAGACCCCCCAAAAAGTAGTTGCGGCTAAATGCTTATATGCTAGGATGAACAAACAGTAGTTATTGTGAGAAGTCACTAAAATGTATGGGAGGCTAAGTTAGATTTAGCAATATTTGTTTGTACTGATTTCTCTCTGCCCCTTCCCTCCTTCCTACAGAAAGTGCATCTTTTACAGTGGAGCTAACTCTTGCTTTTAGGAAGAAGAGGGGAAGTTAGGGTCCCCTTCTTGCATGTGCTGTTTTTCAAGAATCTTTAACTCAAAACAATCCTACATTAAAGTGGGACATTTGGGGCATATTCTGCTACCCTTCACCATCCCCCTAATCAGCAGCAAAATGAGAACTAGAAGCTGGTCCTCCTCACTTGATGGTGCTTATTTCACTACAGCTGTTTCTGTCTTGTGCCTGGGACACTGTCTTTACTCTCAACTAGTGTCTCCTGCACACCTGCAATGCGCAGGGCCCCATGCTCGAGGCTGCAGGCTCACCTGAGGCACACCGGCGGTACTGTTTCTGTTTTGTGGACGGGGACACAGGCTCAGAGAGGCTCAGTAGATTAGTGAATGGCGCTTTCATGTGGTTCAGCCTAAAAACATGTTCTAGGTAACACAGCAATTTTGATTAAGAGTCAGAAAACTGGAATCAGACAGACTGATTTTTCTCAAAGCCATGGAGCTGGCCAGGAGTGCAGCTGAGGGGGCTCTGCCACCCTGGGGGCTCGCTGGTGTGGCTCCCGTGACACACATGGGAGAAGCACTGTGGGAACAGCCTCTCCTGGCTCTGCCCACCTGATGCAGGGTGGGTGCCTCTGAAATAAGAGCCTTGTAGGTCATGGGAGACATTGCTATACTTTAAACCGAACCTTTCAAAAAAACATACCAACCTCTCTAGGGTCACCTCGGATGGGCTCGTGTGACACCTCTAAGGGCTACTTCCTTCTGTTAGATGCTGCTGAGACCTGCAGGTAGCATTAATATGGAAAACTCTAAAGTGATCTAACCTTCATCCACTTTTTCATCAGAACCATCTCAATCCTTCTCTTATTCAGAATACTGCTGCAGACAGAGACACGGCACCCACGTTCAAGGAGTGAGGTTCTGGATTTATTTGGAGTAACTGGGGAATATCCTTTCATCAGAAGATTCTAAATAGCTATGCCAAATATAACTTGCTGATTTTCCCTCTGGCTGTGCCTAAGGCCAATGGTATATGAGAGGCCTGGTCATAGGAGCTGTTGTTAGCCCAGAGCCCAAATCAAATGTGAGTCACGTGGTCATCACAAAGCATCAGGCACCCTTGAGAGAATACTCTCTAAAGAACAATTAAGTATCTGGTCAAGAACACCAGAAAACTCATGATCATTTATTGCAAATCACTCATAGTTTATACATTATTAATGGCAAAATAACACTGTTAAACACCTGCTGGGTGAAGAACTTCATTATGACAATTTCCTTTTGGCATCACTTCTTTTTCAAAAATTTAAAATTTCAATTTGAAACCCTAAATCTTTCCTAAACAGATCTATCTTCAAAGGGCTCCAATGCCAACACTATAAACCTTTCTTGGGCTCTAACGTCTAACACAAGGGGCACACTGTCCTGTTAATTTAACATGCTCTTTACAAGGCAACATAACACACAAAAAATTTTTAATCCAGAAGCTACATAATGATCACTTTATATTTTGCTACAAAATCAATGAAGGCTGCATGCAGGTGAAACTTTAGTAGACACTGAGTTCTAGGTAACTGTCAGTTATTAATATCTGATGGCCTGGTGTGGAAAATTAATATGCTTGTTTGGCAGAAACAGCTAAAGTACATGCATCATTGGCGGGGATCAATTAGAATATAAATTAGGTATCTAAACATTGAAATGAGAGCTTAATTTGGTGTCTGGCATGTCTGAGTTATACACCTTTAAAATGAAAAGAGCAAAAAGGACAAAATCAAACACCTAAATAGGCATTGATTTACGGGGTCAGCTGGGCATACAGCTCAGGACACAAAACTAGCTGGGCAGTGGAGAGATCTCTTTTGAAGCAAAGATGGCAGAGCATTAACAAGCTGTGAACAGGGCAAAAATAATAAGAGAGCCATTTCCTGTATTCTCATTTTTTAAGATGTTCAATTCTCTTACTTAAAAAAACAACAAAAATACACAATAATTACAAAACAGAAACATTCTTTAGTTACTACTTAGACCCCCTCTTTTGTCTGCTACCCTGTCTCTCTGCTCCTTCAGGTAGTGTGTTTAAAACTAATGCTGGGTTAAATGGTAGAAAAGAAAATGCTCTCCTGAATCACACTGAAAGAATATTAACTTCTTTCCTCTTGTCAGGGTTAATATTGGGTACAAGCACATGACAATGTATGTTTGACATGTTATAGCTATAGCAATTAAATCACATGTTCACACTCTAATGTTAACTCATTATTACTGACTTAAAAAAATTTTTTTCATTGGTAGTTGTATCTTGACTTTGAGACAAACAAAAAATTCTTGAACCACATAGATTCCATTCCCTCCCATGATCCAATGAGCATGAGAACTATAGTAACAGAAGGCAGGGACCAAAGTGTCAAGGTCAGGCGTGTTGGATGGCGGTTCCAGGTTCAAGCGCTGCCATCTCCAGTCCTGGCTTTCCGGGCCTCGATCATTGGCTTGGTTGCCCGTTTGCGGTCAGTGGCCAGCCCCAGCCAGCACATGATGTCAATGAACCAGGTGGTGGGGTTGAAATTTAAGCCAAATTCACTTGCAGAGTAGTCAAAGGGAAAGGTGTGATGGTAATTGTGGAAGCCTTCGCCTGGAAGACAAAATGAGCATTGAAACAAACTGCTCAACCACCTCTCTACAGATCTTAAATCGCTCACTTACTGGGGGTCTACCATGTACAAGACACTGCATCAGACTCTTTAGAGAGCAAAAGACTTAATTTCTACCTGTAGGAAGCTCTACTTAGTTGGCTAGAAAAACAAAATGTAAACAGAAAATAACAATAAAGATATCAGCATTAAGTCACCAGATAATTTTCCTCTAAGAATTGGAGACATGCTACCGTGACTTCCAAGCTGTACTTTGTAAGCTAGATGCTGACTGGCTGGTAACAAACAGACCATATGTTCATAAAAGGAAAACAGCCACTGTGGATTGGAGTGATGAGAGCAAGACCTTGGGAGAGCTTGGAAGGGATAAATGAGAATTGTTCAAATAGGTAAATAAATCAAGGAGTTGGGTCTTGATTTATTTTTTAAAAGATTTTATTTACTTATTTTTAGAGAGATGGGGGAAGGGAAGGAGAGAGGGAGAGAAACATCAATGTGATTGCCTCTCACCCACCCCCTACTGGGGACCTGGCCAAAAAACCAGGCATGTGCCCTGACTGGGGATCAAACCGGCGACCCTTTGGTTCGCAGGCTGGTGTTCAGTCCACTGAGCCACACCAGGTAGTGCAAGGAGTTGGATCTTTAAATATCCAAAATCTGCCTATATATTAGCTTATCCCTCCCAGTGCATAGCTTTTCTTCTTTTCTGTGAGGGTGTTTTAAGGAGGGGAATTACCTCAGAACATCTTTTATTTGATTTTTAAAACAGCTTTGTTGAGACATAACTCACCATACAATTCACCCATTGAAAGTATACTCTTTAATGGTTTTTAGAATATTCGGACTTGTGCATCCATCACCACAATAAATTATAATATTTTCATTAACTAAAAGGAAATCCTAAACCCCTTAGCTGTCATTTCCCAATCATTCCCCAACCCTCCCAGCCCTACTTTCTGTCTCTATGATAGCTAATTTTATGTGTCAGCCTGATGGGCCAAGGGGTGCCTGTTAAACATCAATCAGTGTGTGCGCGTCTATGAGAGTGTTGATGGGTGAGACTAACATTTGAACCAGAGGACTCAGTAAAGTAGACCTCTTTCCCCAGTGTGGCTGGGTTTTATTCAATCCTTTAAGGGCTGGAATAGAACAAATGGTGGTGGAGGGTGGAATTTCCCTCTTCTCCTAACTCGCTGGTTGAACTGGAACATCTGTCTCATCTTTCCCTGCCCTCGGACTGGGTTTTATACCATTGGCTCCCCTGGTTCTCTGGTCTTTGGACTTAATTATACCACTGGCTTTCCTGGGTCTCCAGCTCTCAGACTACATCTTGTGGGACTTCATAGCCTCTATAATAGTGTGAGCTAATTTGGCATAATCAATCAATCAATCTTTCTATGTTTCTATCTATATACAGAACCAACAGAATATATCCATGTTACATATATAGCCTACTGTTTCTATATATGGAAATTTATTATGAGGAAAATATATAATATATAACTGTATATATACTGAGATACATACACAATTTCTCTTTCTCTGGAGAACACTAATACCATCTGTATAGATTTGCCTATTTTGAACATTTCATATAAATGAAATGTTATCCTATGTGACTGATCTCTTTCACTTAACATAATATTTTCAAGGTGTAGCAGGTTATCAGCATTTCATTTCTTTTTTATATGGATATACCACTTATCATGCCACTACATTTATATAAGTGTATACATCTATTCATCCATGGACATTTGGGTTATTTCCACTTTTTAGCTATTATGAATACTGTTGCTATGAGCATTCAAATATAGGTTTTTATGTGGACATATGTTTTGATTACTCTTAGGAACGAATCTAGGAATAGAGCTGCTAGATTATATAGTAACTGTTTTCAACCATTTGAAGAACTGCCAGATTCTTCCTTTACTACTTACATGGCTTCGGTCATTGTATGGTTCTTCTGATGACCACGTTTGAAGAATTCTGCTCTATACTGAGCACATCAGATGGACTGACCTGTGGTCTGCCATTTTCTTAATTTAGGTCTTCTCTACTCTACCCCTCTACCCTTGTCATTTTTAGGTTCCTTCCTGTACAGTATAGAGAAGTTTAACCCTCATTTTCAGAAACAGTCACTGGTCTGCACGGTTGGGTATAACAAGAGCCTTCTAAGGACCTGTATGAAGAAAGCTGACTGGGAGCCCAGTGTTGATCTGAATTGACTTGAAACCAATTCCCAGAAGTTCAGGGAGTGTGTCGTGGCCACATTCTTTGGGTTTCCTGGACTTCCTTCTCTCTATAAAGTGGTAACAATCTCTCTTATCCCCACTCAGGTCTTGCTCTCAGGGTCAATGCTAGATGTGGCTCCCTCCTTAGAATCCTTCTAGAAAATGAAAGTGACAAGAGGAGAAAGGACATCAATAGGAGGGTCAGGAAACTTCCTCCTGTCTTCCAAGGCACTTGGCTCTCTGTTTATCCTGTTACCCCATAGCTAAATTTGGTGTTTATTTCACTTTATATTGCTCTTGTCAACTAAAGATCCCTGGGGCCTTACGTGGAAAACCCTAATAAAGTGGTGGTAGAAACCCATCGCTGAGTGATACAGAGATCATTTCTATTCAACAGCAGGAACTTCTCTTCCTGACTTGAGCTCTGTGCTAAAGACTCAGCTTACCATGAAGCCCAGTTGCTTCTATAAAGCTATTGCTAATAATTATTAATCATGTAGCAAGTGCCAGCCACAGTGCGAAGTGCTTTAATGAGTACGAACTGCTGTAATCTGTACCCCTCTGAGCTACGGTTACTCCAATTTTAAAGTGAGAAAGTAAATGAGGAGAAGGGACAAGAAATTTGCCTAAGACCATATGGTTGGTAATAAAAACAACATCACTGGGGGCTTATTTTGTACTAACTTCTACTGTAAATGCTATGTATTAATTTACCTGGCCCTCCCAACAAGCCCAGGAGGAAGTGAATGCTACTATTATGCCCACTTTACAAATGAAGACATGAAGTATGGAGGAGCCAGGTACCTTGACCAGACAGTAAGTGAAGGAACCAGGACTCTGTCAAACTTGTTAAGACTCCAGAGGCCTTACTCTTAGCCATTCTGTGGTACTGTGAGATGCCACAATCTCATTTCTTCCAATCTCTCTGTTTAAAGGCCTGTTTTTCTTACGGTCAGCCAAATGATGGGACACCTGAGGACAGAGCTGTCCAGGCAGCTAGAGAGAAAAGTCAATTGCTACTCTCCTGCAGGTAAATCTCGATGGCAAAACTAAATAGGTACTAATTATTGATCACCTACTATGTGCCAGGCACTGTACCAAGCAGTTTACATATACAAGTATCTTACTTAATCCTCACAACATCCCTATAAAGAAAGCATTGCTAATCCCACTTCATAGGTAAAAAGACTGTATATTAGAGGCTAAGTGACTTGCCCATGAGCCAAGATTCTAACACCAAAGGCCGAAATTCATTCCATTCCACTCTACTGCCTCTCTTTACAGATTCCATAAAACCAAGAGAAGCCAAGATAATCAAGCTACCATTCTCTCCATTGGCCCTCACACCCCTACTCACCAACGGCGCCCAGAGTGACCAGTGGGTTTTGCCGAGGGCTGATGTGCTTGTCATAGGGCCGGTTTCCATACATGTGGGCGGCACTGTTGACCAGCCAGGTGACGTTGAGTGAGATGGTATAGCGAAGAATGGAGGCCAAGAAGTAGGAATTCCACAGACTCTCTCCCCAGATGCACCAGGGCACCAGTGTGGGGACCACAAAGCACATGAGCACCACGGAGATCTTATAGTATCTGGAAGGCAGAATATTATGCTCTCAATGGCCACCCGCTGATGGTGGTGAGGAAAGGCTGAGCAAACTATAGAAAAAGTCAGGAATTATGCCAGGCAGCAACTTCAACTCTTTCTATATAAGGAATACCTTGTTATGTGTCACTCTGTGCGGGGGCCACACACCTATATATCACACGTCTAGGTAGGTTAACACAAATTTGAGAATTAGCTCAGGCAGAATGCCACAGAAATTGTGGGGCCTACAACATATTTCAGAGGAATTTCAATATAAAATGATCATCATTGTACTGGCAAAAGCCATGTGTCTTAGAGCTACATTTGCCCTGCAAGCTACCAGTTTGACAGCTCCTAGCTATTTCTTTCATCAGTGGCATTCACTTCATCAGACAGTCAACCTGATAATCAGGTTTTCTTGAAGATATTTAGTATTTCTGGAATAATTCTCAGGCACATGATTCTGTGCTAACTTACCTTGGTTAAAAAAAGGAAACAATCTTCTCTTCAAAATGTTCTCTGTCCAATAAAGATTACGTTCCAAACCAGCATAAAACATAAACACTAAATATAGGAACAGGCATGGCCACATAAAAATAAACCATCAATAGTTTGATTTCCGCACTTGTATATCCTGCAAACATTTCCTAAGCACCTATTATATGCCAGGACCCGGGTGCTGGTAAAACAAAGGCAAATTCAAGTAATCCCTGGGCCACATAGGACCAGCTTAGCTCTATGCAGGGACTGGAGAGGGGCTCCGACAGGAAAGTGTCCGAAGCCATCTGTTCATAGTGATCTTCTCCCCAGCCTCCCATTGGCTAATCAAGTTTCCAGACCTCTGTTAAGAGGGGTATGTATGGGCTGGGAGGTGGTACCATGTGAGGCCATGAGATTCAGCAGGTGGGATGCTTTGACTTGAATCTAGATCTGATTCTCGATGTTGAACAGGCCTCTTTTTATTATTTCATGCTCCTCTTTTGCACAGTTAAGACAGTTTCCCAAACACAGAGCATGAGGCAAGGGCCTGTGTGTGGGTATTATATTTGGGGAAGTGAGCACATACTACAGGAGTGGGCAACAGGAAGAATGAGACAGGGAAGGGGGGGAAAACCACGCCAGGGTGCTCACTGCTGTGAGCAACTGAAGTTGGGTCTCAAGGGGGCAGATTCTATTCTCTCAAGGCATAAAAGAAGGGACCACTAGGATGTCACACAGAGGGATATTAGCTTCCTCACACTTTCACATTTGCTTGGATCAGAATGGCTGAGTGCGTTCCACAGGCAGCTCAGATGAAGGTGGCAAAGAAGCTGGGGCAGGAAGTAAGAAATAAACAGTAAGTAGAAGCAGTCAGGAACCGCAAGATTGTGGGAACACACGTGGTGAACTGCTGTAAACTGCCAATGCATGCATTCCCCAAGCAGGCTCTTTTTCCTTTCTCTTCTTGCACTCTCTTTCCAAGTGATTTAAGAAGATGCATCTGCCAACTTCTCCGTTAGGGAATGAATGACGGTTCTGTGATGTACTATAACTAGACAGTAATGTTTAAGGAGATCCTGAGATGATCTGCCTTCAGGCAGGAAGGACTTCCATACAGTGGCTCACTGTGGCCTGGCGAGGGTGCGGGCTCTCAGTGGTCCCCAGGAAGGGCAGCTGCACTGCATGGAGGGTGAGAAACTTTATTAGACAACTTTATTTCTTAACAAATTAGAAGCTCTTTCCCCAAGACTAAGAGAAACAAAAGATCCAGAAAGAAAAAGAAAGCCTTTTGTAAGATTTCTGGTTTGAGTTTCTGTTCATTAAAAAAAATCTATTGCTTATAATTTATTACAGTAGATGCATGTCGGAGAATAAATAAGAACAAAATATGCAGATTCTTGTTCATATAATTTTTCTATTCCACTTTTTCAACATAAAATTTTAAGCCATTCTGAGTAAGAAGAGGAAGAAGAAGAGGAAGGTGGGAAGAAAGAAGGAAGAAGGAAGAGGAGAAGGAGTAGAAAGAGGAGGAGGGGGAGGAAGAATAAGCAGTACAACTGTGCAAGGTGCTGTTGGATTACACCTGTGCAAGCAGGTGGCCACAGCAAGGACAGAGTGAAAAGGTGGGCTGAGAGTATGAGGCGGGGAACAAGAGATGTCCAACCCAGTAGAAATCGTAATGTCTTAAAGGGTTCTTATGAGGATCAAATACTGATAACTACCATATACTATGTGCTTACTGTGTCACCACTACTCTGAGACCTTCATTTACTACGTGTACTGACTCATTTTATTCTAACAAAAACTCTAGGAAAAATGGACCATCACTATGCCATTTTACAGATGGGGAAGTTGAGCAATAGAAAGGTTATGCGGCTAGCCCAAGGTCACAAGATCAGTAAGTAGCCGGACCAAGATTGAAGTCCAGGCAGAATTACTGGAGACCATCGTGCTACTCTGCTTTGCAAATGAAATCATGCATGCACGCCTGCTTTGTAGACTGCTAGCTACACCTAAGTATCGGTTCCCATAATGATAACCCATGAGTACCCGTTTTCCAGTCACTGGGCTGTAATGTGACTGCATTTTAATGCAAAGAGGGTTCCTGGGTGGTCAGATGAGTATCTGTGGTTGGAGAGGAAAAGACAACAGACAAAGAAGGGATGGGTCGTCTTACAGTGGGCTCCCCAGAGTCACTGGCAGAAGGTTTTTGGGCAGCGCTCTTGAGGGATACCTGTGAGGAAGAGTGGAGGGCAGGACTGGGCTGAGGGAGATGCTTACCACAATGAGTTTCAGCAGATCCAACGGGGAACTCTGGGGCTGGATGACCCTTTAGAGTTGTTCCAAACTGAAAGGTCTCCTGCATCATGCAGCCATTGGTTTCAGGGTGCCCCTGGGAGGGGGTGAACCCTTGGGCAAAGCAGTTCCATGTGGGAAAAAGCCATCCTCAGAATTCCCTGTGGGTGAGGGCCATTCCCAGCAAGGACAGCAGTGGGAGGCGAGAACATCAGATACAGAGGGGATCTGGGTGAAGCACGCAGGCACTCGCTAAGGGCCCTGGGAACGGTGGCGAGCAAGTGAAGAGGAATGGTGTTCTGAGGGGAAAGTGGAAGACATGCCCGGGGCCCAAGACTGATGCTGCTGTGGCAGCTCCTTGTTTGTACCTCGCAGGAGGAAGGCAAGCAGCTGAACATTGCCAACAGAAGGCATTTTACAACTTAAGTGCCTCTGTCCCTACTTCTACTCTCTGGGTCACAACCCAGGACCTTTGAAATGGCCTTTCCTAGCTCTGTTCTGAGCCATTGTCTTGGCCCTCATTTTGTTCCTGAACAGAAGAGAAAAGAAAATTTATTCAGGACTTGCTCTGTGCTGGGCACCAGGCTAAGTATGTCAGGGGACCCTTTGTCTTAGAGAGGTGCCAGGCCCTTGTTCTGGCTGGCCCCGTGGAATCCCCCTGCCCAGTTTGACTGGTCCACAGGACTCAGCTTCCACTCATGCCCTGGCCCTGCCTCCTCCCTCTGAACTACTTAGGAAAGCCACCTGCCAGCTTGGGCTCTGCTTCCAGCAACTCCACTCCCCCAGAGGGCTGGGTTCCTGTGGAGGGACAGCGCCAGCAATGTGGCTTCCCAAGTGGGAGGGGGAAAAGGCCTGGATTTCACCTCCTCGTGAAATTACTGTCCCGCCAAAGTTTCTCTTCCTCAAAAAAACATGCTCTTTAAAAATCACTGCCCTCATTCTGACAAAGCTTTAGCAGATCCAATTAGAGGGCTGTCCTCTGATTGCTCTTCCTGTATCCTGCTAGGATTCCTCCTTGTGTGTTCACTGCAATGGATGAAGGAGGAAGGAATTTTTAGGTGAGTCTGCTTGGGATTGTCAATGAGGCAGATCTTGATGCTGATAACAGTAAAAATTCTCCCCAACTATTTCAAACCCACTCAGCATATCTTCCTGTGTAGCCAAGCCCCCCTTCCCTCCTCCTGCCTGCCATCTTCTTCGGCAGCTGGTCTGCATTTAATTATAGTCACTGACCTTCTTGCCTTGAAACAAGTGCTGAGAAGGCTTCCCACCTTCCTTGCTTAAAAACACTCACATCTGAACGCCCTAGTCAAGGGTCCATAGAGCAACTCCACAAAGCCTCCAACACGTAATCTTTCCTCATTTTAAGATTTTTTTTCTTCAGCTGGTGGTAGGGAGGGAGGCTGGACAGGGGCCATTGATATTGCTTCATCTTTTTGCTAAATGGAGTTTCTGTATTGTAAAAAAAAAAAAAATCATAGAATACAGGGTAGGCAAAAATAGGTTTACAGTTGTTCATATGGAAAATTATACAGTAATTAATAAATAATAATATAAGAATAGCCCTGGCTGGCATGGCTCAGTGGACTGAATGCCAGCCTGTGAACCAAAGGATCGCTGGTCCAATTCCCAGTCAGGGCACATGCCTGGGTTGAGGGCCAGGTCCTCAGTGGGGGGCACACAAGAGGGAACCACATATTGATGTTTCTCTCCCTGTCTTTCTCCCTCTCCTCCCCTCTCTAAAATAAATAAAATCTTTTAAAAAAAAGAATAAACTCTGTGCTTCATATCCTCCTCACTGTAAGCCTACTTTTGCCCCACCCTGTATTTAACTACCCAACACTCTGCCACTTTCTAGCTGTGTGATGTTAAGTAAATTATTTAATTGCACTGAGCCTCAGATTTCTCCTCTGTAAAATGCAGGTACTGACAAATTTATTTAGTGCCTACTATATGCCAGGTACTGTCCTAGCACTAGAAAAATAAACAAAACAGATAAAAATCCTTACCCTTAGGGAGCAGGGGTATTCTAGTAGGAAAGTTATTTTCATACATATTTTCTGGTAGGGAAGACAGCTAATAAAATGAACAACATATGCAGCATGTTGATGGTAAATACTTAGAAAAAATAAAGCAGAGAAGGAGAATACGAAGTAAGGGTAGGATGTCTAGAAAAGGCCTTACTGACACAATAGCTTTTGAGTAAAGACTTGAAGGAAGTGAGAAGTTA